AGCAGGCACGTATGAAGAGCCCTTGCATCAAAGGGTCAAAATACCTTAACATTAGGTCATGTCATCCATGTGCCCCCAGCCTAGGTAACTCTGCATTCCCCATTCCTATCACCCAGGTCCTCTGGGCCTGGGCATTTATGTGGGCTCATTCCCAGTGGGGTTCTGAGACTGAAGCCCCTACTTGATGACCTGGCAGCCAGAGTCCCTAGTTGCAAGCCCATTGACTCAAGAGCTCCTAATGGTATCTGCCTGGTTTCTCTAAAGCTGGGTTCCTTCCCTCTGTCCCTTGACCTGTGGCTGGATCTCCCCTGTTTTCCTTGCCAGCGTTCCTTCTTTATCCTCCAATTCTGATACGTTCTTTTGACAGGTCAGAGGCTGCCCTGCCATGCAGAATATTAGACTCTTCCATCTGTAGAACAGATTCTCTGAACTTTAAAAGCTCTCTCCAAACTTCAGATGAGCAGCCTGATCTTTTCAGCTAGATCTGTGACCTGTTTCTTTTTATCCTGTATGACCTCCAAAATCTGCCTCTTTCTCCACTGATTCCTGTCACTCTGACCCTCTATTTCCCATGAACCTTGCTAAGCTACAACAGTCCGTCCTGTCTCTTTGCAGTCATAAGTACCCTTGAAAGGATTAATTGAAGTATAAATGGGGTACATTTAGCATAAACAGGTGCTGCTTTACCAGCACCTTTCAGTTTATGCCACTATATATCCCTTGGTGCATTCACTAGTCCAGAGTCTGGGCTTCAGGCCTGCAGACTGAAAACCTGTCAAAAAGAACAGAACACTTAACCATTTGGAGATGTGGTCTGTGAAGGAAATCAGCATGGAAAACTTAAATATTAGAATGATGTGTGGTGAATGCTGACTCTGCCCTGGCCAAGGGGTGGTAGGTAGATTGTTTTAATTGATTTTAATCAATCTGTGACAAATTGATGGCACTTTCAAGCAGACACTAAGATTCAGTCACACAGTTGTTCAGTTGCTCAATCGTGTCCAACTCTTTGCGACCCCATGGACTGCAGCACACCAGGCTTCCCTGTCCTTCACTATCTCCTGGAATTTGCTCAGATTCATGTCCATTGAGTCGGTAATGCCATCCGACCATCTCATCCTCTGGAGCCCCCTTCTCCTCCTGCCCTCCAGCATCAAGGTCTTTTCTAATGAGTCTGCTCTTTGCATCAGGTGGCCAAAGTATTGGAACTTCAGTTTCAGCATCAGTCCTTCCAGTGAATATTCAAGGGTGATTTCCTTTAGGATCAACTGGTTTGATCTCCTTGCTGTCCAAGGGGTTCTCCAGAGTCTTCTCTAGCACAATTAGAAAGCATCAATTCATGGGGAGGGTGGGTGTTTGCCTTGGAAGCTGCTCATCCTGGCAGAGACCTCCACCCCTGTGTCTGTGACCTCCTGGAGATTGTGTATGCTTATCTAATAACCTCTAATACATACCTTTCTGCCTAAAAAAAAAAAAAAAAAAAAGAAAGCAAGCATCAATTCTTCAGCACTCAGCCATCTTTATGGTCCAAGTCTCACATCCATATATGACTACTGGAAGAGCCACAGCTTTGTCTATACAAACCTTTGTCAGCACAGTGATGTCTCTGCTTTTTAATATGCTGTTTGTCATAGCTTTTCTTCCCAGGAGCCAGTGTCTTTTAATTTCATGGCTGCAGTCACTGTCCGCATGTCTGCATGTCCCGTGATTTGGGCATGGAGGGTACCTTCTCCACTAGACAAGTTTCTATGTTACCTATTCCTCTTCTATTAAAATACAGTTGATTACTGAACATTACGAAGGTTAGTGGGGGCTGAGCCCCACGGAGTCAAATCCATGTGTAACTTTATAATCAGCTCTCTGTATCTGTAGTTCCAAATCTGTAGATTCAGCCAACCACACATTAGGTAGTGCTATAGCCCCTATGTATATATTGAAGGAAACCCACCTGTTTCCAAGTGGACTCATGCAGTTCCAACCCATGTTGTTCAAGGGTCAACTGTATTCTTTCTCTGGGTGTATTCTTATTATAAACTAGATATAACCCAGTGAGGTTATAGTATTCTTAAGTTACCTGAAGGCAGGGGTATTTGTTTTGTTCACTGCTATATGTCCAGCTCCTAGAAGAGTGAGCGAATACTCAGATCCTATTATTCTGACAAGTTATTGGGGTTTTTTTAAGGTGACTTCTTACACTTGAATTTTTATCCACTGCATATAGATTTTATAAGTTTAATGCTCATTTAAGGGCCCCTCCCTGTTTTTTCATGAATCTTTGACAGATATCTAACTTTTGTACAAAGAATCCATAACGGAATAAAAAAGCAAGTAAGGATTGTATACAAAGATCATTCTGAAATCATTCTTAGAAGCTGAGTCTCAACTGCATGTTCTGTCTCTTTGTCTTTACCTGTTTGGGCACTGACAAATAGAATACTGATGTGATTAATACAGCAGATAGTAAAAAGTAGATTTTTTATCAAGTGAAGTATAAAAAGGAACAGTGACATATTGTGGTTAAAAGTGCAACCCTCCAAACACTTGAGGTGGGCAGAGTTTTAGCATCATTCATATATTAAAGGATTTTTTTTTCTTTGAAGCTTTAATGGAATAAGAACAGGTTTAAAAAATTATTTTAAAGGGGTGTGGGGGTAGACGGGGACGAATGCAATAGCTATTAAAACCTAGGCCCTGAGTAATTAAAACAGTGTGGAACAGGTATAGGAATAACAGACCAATGGAATAGAGAACCTAGAATTTTAGATATGATTACACATAGCATCACAAATTAGTGAGGAAAAGATGAATGGTACTGGCATAACTGGGTAATCATCTGGGAGAAAAATAGGTTGGATACTTAATTTGCACTTTATACCAGGATACACTCCAAGGAATCAAAATTTAGATCTAAAAAAATAAAACCATGAATATTCTAGAAGAACATATAGATGGAACTATTGCTGTGAACAAGGCATTCTTAACTATCAAAGTCCAGAAGTCACTAAAAAAATCAGTAAGTTAGACTGCATAAAAATTTTAAAAAATTCCATGACAAAACCACCATAAGCAAAGTCAGAAGATAGACAAAAAATTGGGGGGAAAAAAGTGTACAGCTTATTGTAGACAGAGGATTAACAGGGGTGGGCATGCTCAGTAGTGTTCAACTCTTTGCGACCCCATGGACTGTAGCCCACCAGACTCCTCTGTCCATGAGATTTCCCAGGAAAGAATACTGAAATGGGTTGCCATTTCCTTCTCCAGGGAATGGAGATTAACCCTGACCCAGGGATTAAACTCACATCTCCTTGCATTGGCAGGTGGATTCTTTACCACCGAGCCACTTGGGAAGCCCCCAGAGGATTAATATCCCTGACAAATAAAACAATTCTAGAAATTGATAAGATCAATAGTGCAGTAGAAAAATGGGGAAAAGATACAAACACAAAAGGAAATTATACAGATAAACAATAAACCTTAAACAAATGAAAGGTAGTAAGCCTTACCTGTGATAAGGAAAAAACTAAAACACACTGATATATAATTTTGCATCTTATCAGGATAGCAAAAATCCAACATTTTAATAATACTCATGTTGGTCAGGTTGTACACAAGCAGGCATTATTTTAAAGTGCACGAGTGTCATCTGGTAACCATCTCCTGTGGAGGGCATATACTAATATCTTTCACAATTATAAATGCACATGGTCTTTGACCTAAACATTCCATTTGCAAGAATTTAGACCACAAGTACATATTTACATATGTGTAAAATGACATATATAGAATGTCTGGAAACAATCTAAATACCCATTAATAGAAGACTGGCTAACTAAACAATTGTACATTCATATGTGAAGTGTGAAGTGTGAAAGTCACTCAGTCGTGTCCAACTCTTTGGGACCCCATGGAACATATAGTCCATGGAATTCTCCAGGCCAGAATACTGGAGTGGGTAGCCTTTCCCTTCTCCATGGGAGCTTCCCAACCCAGGGATTGAAGCCAGGTCTCCCGCATGGGAGGTGGATTCTTTACCAGCTGAGCCACAAGGGAAGCCCAAGAATACTAGAGGGGGTAGCCTATCCCTTCTCCAGGGGATCTTCCCAACCCAGGAATCCAACTGGGTCTCCTGCACTGCAGGTGGATTCTTTACCAACTGAGCTATGAGGGAAGCCCTGTACATTCATACAGTAGAATACTAAGCAGTTACCTTAAAAAAAGAAGAGTGATTAAGTTATCTATTGACATGGGAAGACTGCCAAGAAAAACTAAGTGAAAAAAAAGCAAACAGTATGTATATACCACCACTCTTTGGGTAAAAGTGAGGGAAAAAATGAGACTTTCCATTTGTGTTTGTTTGTAAATGCCTTAAAAATGTATAGATGGAAATATAAGAAACCAAGAACAGAGGTTACTTGTGGTAAGGGCGGGGGAAGGCTGTGCAGTATGGAAAGTCGGGCCAAAGACAGAAAGAAGACATTCCACTGTATAGCTTTTTATATTTTTTGGGTTTTGAACTATGTGAATGTATTAGTTATTCAAAAAACTAAATAAAATATATTTAAAAAGCTTTATGAGATTCAGTACAAGTGAAAAGATACTAAAATCTCCCTAAGTTTTAGTTGATTGGTAATAAGCCAGTTTCTAAAATAACAAAAATATACCACATTCTGAGCAGAGGCACCAGAATAAGACTCTGTAGTTTCAAGTTCTAGTCCCACAACCTGGAATGTGACTGTGGACAAATTACTTAGCCTCTCTTCTCCTTGGTTTTCTGATTTAAAAACAGAGAAGTAATTGTACCTACCTGCTAGGGCTCCTGAGAAGATAAAAAACCCATGCAAAGCCCTTCAACAGTGGCTGTCAATGCTTGCAATTACGATTTTAAAAAGGAAACCACCACAGACTACTTATTTTCTCCCTTCTCTACCAATTATAACCAAATTTTCATCTCATAAAAGGAAACATTTAAAAGGGGTTTAAAAAAAAACAGGATAAGAAGATTGCAGAAACATTTACTTTAATTCACATTTTCTATAATCTTGTGGGTACAACAGCAAATCATTTGGAATTCTGTTCAAAATCAAAGCTGCACCTGTAGATGTTACTTCAAATAGAATACACATAAACCTGGTATGTGTCTGTGTTGGTTTTGTTTTACCAAATAATTTCCATGATACCATGCACCCAGTCTGTGTGTTTTGGTGAATAGCTATGGTTTCTGCAGGTACTTCAGTTTGCAAAACTGCTAGGAAGTTTACTGTGAACTATTCCCAAATTTCCAGATGAAGGCAATGCTGATGGAGATCAAAATAGCTGTCCTTGCTTTATATACATTGGCACCTAGGTAAAGTTGGAGAATATGGCACAGTGTTTCATAGACATACAGAGATTACAAGTATTGAACAATTCACAACGTTAAAGTGTCAAAATAAAACATATGACTTATCAAATTTCAAAACTGTAAAAAACCATTCTAATATTCTGTCTGATCCTCCTCATAATCTAAGAATCAACACAAGAGAAACATTTATCAGTTTTAATACAGAGTATTTCTAATTTACACAGATGTCACTTAAGGGAAAAAAAAACTCACGCTATTGAAGGAAGGAATATGTTCCTTCTCTTCATTTTCATTACTTTATCAGCTGGTACAATCATTTCTGTCTAGTTATATTATCAAGTGCTGGATTTTTAAATTAGGTGATGAGATAAAGACAAAATGCCAAGAGGTATTGCCAGCCAAGCATTGTCACAATGCAGTCAGTACTCTAATATCACTTCACAATAAAAAGTAGGAGTTGAAAAAAAGTTTGTATCACAGAGATCATAAAACATCACCAGGGTCACAAAACAGAGATTTCTATCACATTAATTTAAGAAATACACACATACACAAAAATGTAGGTCCCCCCCCCACAACCTCATTTATGGTAAAGTTAATCAAATATATTTCAACTTAAGACTACTTCATTTGTCTATTTTCTTGATAGTGAAAGATTTGTTAAAACCTTTAAAAGAATATTTTACCCTAACTAGATTTTTTAATCCCTAGAACTCACTCTAAGACACAATTTTAACTAAGCTTGAAACAAATCACAGTAAAGAAAACAAATGGAAATGACCAAAGGTTTTTTCCAGGATGTAGAACTTAAATAACAGCCTTTATCTTTAACTGGGAGAATGATGAAGTAACACTACCAAAAAGATTTTTTTTTTTCCCAAAAAGATTTTTAAACTTACAGTAATAATAAACAAAGTGCAAAACATTCACATTTCCTAGACTGAAAAACACTAAGAATAATTCTTATTAATTTACCAGAAAGATTACCTAGATATTCAACTTTTTAGACAAATTTACCTTAAGTTCCCCCTTTCCCATCAGACAGTACTTGTATCCCTAAAAATGAAAAGAAAAAGTGGAGGAGGCTCCAACCAAATCAGTCTGTTTTATTCAACAAAAATATACCACCACCACCATCAACAACATGAAAACTCCAGGTCTACAAGGGTTAGAAATTGGGTAAGGAAATAACTAGTGAGCTCTTACTCCCCCCCAACCATATCCCTCCAAGGGATAGCTACATATTTTTAAAGGGGGGATGAACCAACTAAGTACAATTTAAAATATGCCACTAAACCATCAATGAAGATATTTCAGACTTTGGCAGGATAAGATGTGGATTTAAGAGCACTTATTTACTTCATAAAAGACTGATACCCGCATTATTTCTACACAGATGCAACCTTTCAAATTAATCACATTATATATACACTAACACCTTTAACAATAATCAATATTTTAAATATTAAAGATATTTAAATCCCAGGTTTAGAAAATGACAGTTTAGGACTTATAAAGTCATCTGTTGGTACAAGTTGCAAGTTCATTTATATACAAAGAACTAAAAAAAGGTAGGGAAAAAGGAAGCTTACACAAGTATGAACTAATTATTTAAATACCAAAGAAAATCAGGTTGAGAGAGGATTGCATAGACTGTATTCAAAAATAAAATCCTTTAAAAATGCTTACTTTAAAATAGTAAGTTTTGTGTATATGTTTCCAACTGGTGTTATAAATCCATATAATCCCATTCAAATTTTATCAATATGGAAACTTAAGTATTTATGCCATTTTTGTTTTCTTAAACAAAAATTTCTAAAGTTGGAGTAGGGGCAAAGAGACACAAAACCAACAGAAACTGGTTTCTAGGTTCTCAGTAAAGAATCCTCCTGAGCCAGCCCACTGCAGGCACAGCCACTCTGGTGGGTAGCATAGGAGACCGCACTCACTCACCTTCGCTGAAGGTGTTTATTCACCTTCACACCAAAACACAACAGCAACAACAGCAAGTAAAAATCCTAAAACCAGTGAGACTGAAGTCTTGGGAATTCTTAACTAACGACTGTAATTATACACTGAAAGGGCCAGTTGTCACTCAGACACTTCCATATGATAGATGGTGACACACCAAGCTAGGCAAGGCTAAATACATTTAAAAATCATTGACAAATTTTTGTTACTGATACCGGCCCTAAGCATCATTTGCTCTCTAGCTCTCCTTTTCCATAACAGACCGTTAACAGTGTTACTCAGACGGAGACATAGACATTTTTAAGTTTGACTACTGGAAATAAAGAACAGAATAAACACAAAGCCAATTCTGTGTGAATAGTCTGCTGTTCAGAATATATTCAACAGATGGTAACACATGGAATTAAACACAGAATTAGTATAACTTACATGTCTTAAAAGTATATACTTCACTTATAAATATCTCTAGTTGATAATCTATTAAGAAGCATAAATATTCAAGTGAACTTTTGAATTTTCTCTTTAAGAGCTCAGAATTCTTGAAGTCTGATTAGTCTTCTTTTGCTGAAATGTCCAAGACTAAAAAGGCTTCACACAGTCACTTTATGTCTCTAATTAGACATATAAAAGCCTCTATTACCTACTGTGTTGTAATAAAACTTTGAAGTTCTGTAACTCTCTTATACTTGTAGAAAGCCTACAAGAGAGGAAAAAAAGCATATTAGTACAGCTAATATGATGTGTAGACATTTCATATTACTGATGCTGTCATATGGACTATAATTTGAAATCAAATCGAAAATAAAATAATGTAAACAACACTGAACAATGAAGCTTCCATTTTTTAAAGCATATGCTATAATTATTAAAGACTGGCAAAACAGAGCTGTAGTTTGTTACTTTTGATTTAGAAGGGGCAAAGTTACTTCCTATTAGCAACAAATTCTAGATCAATGATGGGAACAGTGATATGATAATTCATTATAATAAAGAATCCCAAATCATTTACATTTGGCCTTAAAAATTCATTTTGCACACTCCTCTATAAATATCCAATTCTTTCTTATTGCTCCCCAAACATGGATTTGTTTTAACACAAACACTGATCTGTTTTAACACAAAGGTACAGATTCTATTCATCTGTCTACTGTTGAATCCCTATGCCCTCCAGCCACCCGTATTTATTTGTTGTTGTTAGTCACTTATTCGTATCCAGCTTTTCTATCCTATAGACTGTAGCCCACCAGGCTCCTCTGTCCATGGAATTTCCCAGGCAAAAAATACTGGAGTGGGTTGCCATTTCCTTCTCCAGGGACCCATATTTATAGTGTTCAATAAATAATTACTGGCTGGCTGACTGAATGAATAAAATACTTCTGAGCCCAAACTCAGAAGTAAAACTCTGAAATGCGAATCATTAAAAAAGAAATTCTATAAGCTCAATTATCCTTATGTACAATTCAGGTTTACACAATAGAAATCTAACGTTTTTCTTTCTGTAACTTAAGATGATATAGAACAGTACTGAGCCTTTATTTTTATTATTTTTTTTTTTGACCGCCTTTAGGTACATAAGTAATAACTTTTCTTATATTGAGAGCTTAAGGTATGGTAGGCAATGTTCTGAGCCCATCACACATGTAATCTCATTAATTGTAAACAAAACAAAAATCTCTACAAAGTAGATAAAATTAATCCTGATTTTACATTTTAAGAACACTGTGCATGCTAAGTTGCTTCCGTTGTGTCGGACTCTTTGTGACCCTATGGACCATAGCCCACCAGGCTCTTCTGACCAAGGGATTCTCCAGGCAAGAACACTGGAGTGAGTTGCCATGCCTTTCTCCAGGGGATCTTCCCAACCCAGGGCTCAAACCCGCGTCTCTTAGGTCTCCTGCATTGGCAGGCAGGTTCTTTACCACTATTACCACCTGGGACGCCCATTTAGGAACGCTGAGGCTTAAATAAATCAAGTAATTTTCTCAGGGTCACTCAACTACTGGGTAGGATTCTAACCAGCTCATCAGATCCCAGGACCACACGGCCTCTCAAAAAAATCTATCTTCTCTATGGTCTCAAAAACATTTTCTTTATACTCTTACAAGCTGTAGATGAACAGAAAATGAATTCTTACTCAAATCTTCAGAATAGTAGAGAAGTAAAAGTGTTTATAAGGAGAAAATAAATGTGTAAAATAAATTATTAAGCAAAATAAATGTGTAAAATCATATTCTGTACCTCAAAGTATCCATTAAAAAAAAAAAACTATCAAAATACATATGAAGATATGGTAGAGACCAAGGCCCTTAACTAAAGGAGAGAGAGCTCGGTAAAGAGCAGCAGTTGAAAAAAGTATGCTCAAAGTCTGATGTAGATACAAAAATGGAGAGCATCAGAAAACTCAAGGTTTTATACAAGCTAACATTTTACCAGGAGAGTAGAGACTCAGCAGCACTGTGTGGGACCTGAGTCTCTGTGACAATGCATCCGAGAGCTCACACATCATGACACGGGGAGAGTGTGCCCACACTCCCTGTTACTATTCGCAGACAGACACAGCATGGCTGCATCGACCTACTGCTTCACTGGTACTTTCAGAGGGAGATAAAATGTGCTGTAAGACTCAACAGGTTTTAATACCCTTTCTATTTGTACCTAGGAAAATAAACCATTCGATAGAAATGCTGACACTATCAAAAATCGGCTGCTAGTGTAGGAAAGACATTTGCAGAGTATTCAAGATAAAGAAAACACATTTCCCAGCATTCTGTGGCCAGAACCAAAAACAGCGCTCACTGTATGTCTCTGCCCACTAGCATCATGGACAAAGCAATGCTGTGCTGGGTGCCCTAGCTGAGGTAGAACTGTATTATATAGGTTGTTAGACCAAGAAAACTCCCAGTTCATTTAAGAACGAGTGCACAAACTCCCCAAAGTATAACACAATAATTGTGTGGTTAGTGCAGCCAAAATCATTTCCTATATAAATGAACTGATAATCAGGTGGAAGATACAATGAACAGATCTGATTAACAATTATTAAGAGTAACTATAATATTTTTAAAGGAAAAAAATAAGCAATGTATAGAATACATATGAAAGAAACAATAAAACCTGACAAAGAGAAAAAAGAATGGCTAAATTTTGGTATGTCCATGTAACAGAATATTGGCCTATATTAAAAACAGTGTTTATGTATTTGAAAACTGCTAAAAGAGTAAATCTCAGAAGTTCTCATCATAAGAAAAAAATTCTATAATTATGTATGGTGATGGATGTTAAGTAGGCTTATTGTGGTGATCATTGAGCAACCTATACCAATACCGAATTATTATGGTACACACCTGAAGCTAATATAATGCTATATATATCAAGTATACCCTAAGGAAAAAAATAATGCTTATGAAAAAATAATATTGGGAAATGATCACAACATAATGCCAAGTAAAGAAGGATAAAGTATACAAAATGTGTAAGTAGTGAGAAAATACACATTAAAAATACAACAAATGTTGAAATAGTCCTAAGTGGTAGGCATATGGATGATTTTTACATTTATTTACTAATTTATTCTTTCACATGTTTTTCTAAATTTTATATAATGACCATGAATTACTTTAATAATTAAGGGTAGAGAAAGATTAATATTTTAAAAGAGCTTTAAAAAACAGATGGCTGTGATTTGTTTTCCCTGGGAGGATAAGGGTGACTAAATTAGGTTGTTCCTTATTTGTATAACCATCCCACCCTGAGTATCATAACCCTTAAGAAAAGAAAGGTTTCTCACATCTACTCTAGTCATAAAAAAATGAGACAGACTTTTAAGTACTGAACATACTAGAGCACTGAACATCCAGTGGTATTTGTAAATTACCATCACCACCACCCCTACTGCCATGGACTTCAGAGAGCATCTTGTAATTATTTTAAAAGTGTCACATGGAACCTCATTTTATCTTCATGTTAACTCCACGGGAAAGATTTTTACTTATCTTCACGGTACAGNGGAACAAGAAACAAACTGACATTTGATTTCCCTACAATAACATAGGAAGCTGGGAGGTTGTAGAGTCTTCAAATCTCTCACTGAAAATTACAAACTATATACCCAGCCAAACTATTAAATATTAGAATACAACACAGTATTTGCAACTATTCAAAAGTCTCAAAAAATGTATTTCCCGTGTACCCTATCTCTGAAAGCTACTAGAGGATTTACTCTAACAAGGGAATAAACCAAGAGAATTGAAGACAAGAAATTTGGAAAGCAGGGTATTCAACACAAAAAATAGACCCAAGAGACTCCAGGATGATGATGGAGACAGACTTCAGGATGGCAACTGGGTGGGGGAGTCTAGAGAGAAATTAGTCCATATCAGTGCCATTTAGGAGGTTCTGGAGGATATATCTCTGAGAAAATAAGGTTGATAAGTGGTGCTGTTAAAGGAATCTGGCATCAATGATGGAACAAGGCTTGACATTCAACATCAAGCCAAGATGTTGAGTATAGCAAATAGCTATACTATATATTCTGTCTTTATAGAATGAAATTCTGTCTATGATGACATCACAGAACCATCCCTAAAAACATCCTGGTCTCCAGACATTGTATTATGTGAGATAATAAATAGTCCCTAGCTTAAATCAACTTCAGTTGGCTTTTCTATTCCTTGTGGCCAAAATCATCCAACTGATACAGAGACTCAAGTTCCTTCAAAGGGAGGAGGTAGGGTGCTTGACAATAGTCTGGAAAAAGCATCATGAATTAGGAAGCTCTCTCAGTCACGTGAACACTCTTACTAATTTTCTCTCTCCTTCATCTATTCAAACTCCTTTTTTTAGCCATCATTTCCTCTGCTTACTCATTGCCTGCTTTTATTTTCTTTTTCTTTTTTTTTTTTTTAAGTAAATGGCTGTCCGGGAGTTGGTGATGGACAGGGCAGCCTGGCTGCTGTGGTTCATGGGGTCGCAAAGAGTCAGACACGACTGAGCGACTGAACTGAACTGAGCTAGAGGGCTGAAGCTGGAAGGGCTGCGTTTGTGAATATTCCTTATGAGATTGAGAGAAATTCTGAGGAAGTTGATCTCTGGTTCTTTCTCAATTTAATTTTATTTAGATTTAAATATATTTAAAGAAGATAATAATTGCTATAAAAGTTTAAAGAAACATTCAGTCATTGTGATGAGAAGGTAGGAAATTCAAATGAACTGAACTTTTCACCAAAATATTCAGCTATGCAAAACATAGTTTCTACTTCTCACAGATTATGCATATGATAAATTTATTGAAGCTGTTAAGGAAACCTGAAAAGTTTCACACTTTTTGGATACATATCATACTATTCCAAATTACTAAAATGCCATTTTTTTAACCAAGAAAATATCACATTAGGATCAGAAGTGTTCAATATGTAACCCTGAAAGCACTTTTTCTAGCCCCTAGCAATTCAAAACTTAGAAATCATTTTAAGTTCTTAGTGATACCTACACTTAATAATTTCTCAATTATTAGCACTATAGAAAAAGAAAAATCTGATTTCAGTGTAGTCACCATTAAAATATATTCCATCTCCTGATTTTCTATGACTTACTATCATCTTTGTAAAAAGATGATAGAAAATATCACACAAGCCTTTTTACACTGAAATATATAGGGAAATGGTCCTGCTGTGCAGACTTTCCTATTTTGTGATTAGGGGACCTCCTTCTTCTGATCACTAATACCAAGTCAGTGATTAAAATTTGATAATTAAGTTTTTTATATGATTATATTTTACCTTCTAAATAGGTATGTAAAATACCAGTACAATCTATTTATAATCACCCAACTTCAGAATGAAATCTGATATTGTACCAACAGAAACATATAATAAAACCAAAATCATTAATCTAGAATAACAGAAAAAACAACCTTATACATATACATATGACACACTAATTTTTTTCATAAATAAAATAGCAAAACCACACTTTGGGTCTCTAATTCAATGAACAATGAGGACATTTTAACAAAAACTTTCAACTTCTCAGTGCAGAAATTTAAGGTTAGCAATAGTTTCAGAACAGAAAACAACACACAAACCTGTAACTTCCCCCATAATCTGCATTTGTCACATCCCACACAGTCCATTATACGGGAGATATTCTTGAAATGTAACCGGAATTCCTCCTAATGTGCAGAAAATATTTTCATTCTAGTTAGACATTAAAATTAAACTGCACTTGCCTGAATTCTAAAAACATTTTGAAGCTTATTAATGAATGAGTTGTGTTTTTCAACAATGAAGAAAATCATCTGGAGTTGTACAGCATAGCATGCATATGAAATAGCTAACATTAATAGCATTTTATAAAATTCACTCCACATATTAATTCAACCAATTTTTTAATGAGAGGCTACTCCATGCCAAGCACCAACATGTTCACTGTGGGGGACACTAGAGTAAATCATGCATGGTTTTTACTTTGAAGGAGCTTAACTGCTGCTTCCATTTGATATCTGCATACAGGCAGTGGCAAATACATATCTACATTATGTTTTATTTACTCTGGATGCACTGCTTTGTGTAAGTGTAAATCAGAAAGCTAGTCCTGGAACAAGGATCAATTCCCATGTCTCTCCTTAGGGCTACCCCATGTTTGTGCATGTGCTGAAAGCATGGGTGACCACAGTGTGTGGTCGCGCAGTCCCCCACATTCGCTAAGGCTGCTTCTCCAGGGGTGCTCACTTACTGGATCCTTGAATGGTGCTGTACTAGTTTCCCACACAATTAGGTAACACTTCTGCCTGTGATCTGTGCACAGGTTTCTCTGACACTAAGGTCAGTCTCAGCTTCTCCAAGGACAACACTAACTAAGAGAAAGTTTCCTCATCCTTTTCATTGGGCAAATGTAGAAAATAAACATCATTTTATTGTACTGAGGCAAATGTTTCATTGCAAAGAGCTGGAGTGAGTCACCTGAAAACTCTGGCCCATCAAAAGCCCAGCCCCGCTGCCCAAAGTGTTTGGAGGAATCTGTAGCTTGGCCAAAAGAAAGACAACAGAAACATTCCAAAAACTCCTTTGTGCTCTCATAGAATTCTCATGCTTTGGAGCAGATGGAAAATGGATTTAAATTCTCCTTTATATACCTTTGAAAAGTAGCAAACCAAATTTCCAGCATTTTACACTTTAAAAGCTAGTTGTGAAACTTTAGTCTGGTCTCAATCTTACCTTCCTCATCTATAAAAAAAGATACATAATTATAGTTGTCTTGATCAAAAGTATAAAATTTATATAAACACTTATAAAGTAGGAAGCATTAAAAAATGAATTAACATTATGTTAAATACCATAATATTAATATACATCTAAAACAACCATAAGTCAAAACAACCTTCTAAAACTAAAATACAGTGTGGCTAAACTACTTCATTTCAGAAATACCAAGCAACTCTGACTAATTTATTCATTCTTGTAGCATGTCTACATCTAAAATATCCTGGGGCCAAATATGTTTCAGAATTCAGAATTTTTCAGATTTTAGAAATAAAGTACACAACACTATTTATTATGAAACACCCCAATGGAGTATATGGCAACCCCTTATAATCAAATATATGATTGTTTTTGTAGCAAAATGTAATAATAGTCATACAAAGCAGAATTTTTAAAAAAAACACTGTAACTATCTTTACATCAGTTCAGGTTAGACTTCCTTGGTGGCTCAGATGGTAAAGCATCTGCCTACAATGAGGGAGACCGAGGTTCAATCCCTAGGTTGGGAAGATCTCGTGGAGAAGGAAATGGCAACCCACTCCAGTATTCTTGCCTGGAAAATTCCATGGACAGAGGAACCTAGCAGGCTACCGTCCATGGGGTCACAAAGAGTTGGACACGACTGAGCGACTTCACTTTCACTTTCTATAACTATCTTTACATCAGTTCAGGTTAGGTTTTGCTAACAAATTAATTTGCACCAAACATAAGAAAAATGTTCCAGTGGAGCTTTTGGATTTCAGAATTGCATATAAAAAATTATAGTGCTATAGTAGAAGACTATTTGCCAGTCCATTTCAAATACTTTTATCAAACTGTAAAGTGAAGTCGCTCAGTCGTGTCCGACTCTTTGCGACCCCATGGACTGTAGTCTACCGGGCTTCTTCGTCCATGGGATTTTTCAAGCAAGAATACTGGAGTGGGTTGCCATTTCCTTCTCCAGGAGTCAAACTGTAAAGGTGTAATGTATTGCTTAATTACTATAAGCCAGTGGTCCCTAGCCTTTTAGGCACTAGGGACAGATTTCATGGAAGATAATTTTTCCATGCACAGGGAGGGGGGATGGTTTCAGGATGATTCAAACACATGACATTTATTGTGCACTGTATTTCATCAGCTCCACCTCAGATCATCAAGCATTATTAGATCTGGGAGACTGGGGCCCTCTGCTGTAAGCAAATGAAAACGAAGTGCTCCTAATGTGAAGTTTCATAATATTCCTAAAATATAAGTCTCTTTCTGATATACCAAGTCAACAGATAATTTTTGCCTTATATGTTAGTCCATAAGTACAAAAACATAATAGTTTGAAAAACTAATAGTTCATAAAATAAACTTTTAAAAATATGCTATTACTATCTTCGAAGTGGCTAACAGTGCATGACTGCTTTTAAGATGAATCGAAACAAGAAAGAAAAGAAAGAAAACTTCCTCTCAAAATAATGTCTTTTAAAAAGACAATTACAAAGGTGTCATTAGTTACAACTGAAGATTCACTAAGCAGGGGGCAAACTAGAGAGAAAAAGGAGCTGAGAGGAGTTTTTTGTTTCATTTACAGTAAAATCCAATCAGACCAACCAGATTGAGAACTGGGAAAGGAAGTTTAGAGGAAAAAATTAAAACACAACCAGTCAGCTGCTCTCCACTCTGCCCACCAGTCAAGAACTTTTTACCTTTAACGACTTGGCCCCCTTTTTGTCACCTGCAAACATGGATTTCTCGTCAAAGTGCATGGGAAAGGACCTGATGAAAGGAAAATATTATAAATTACAGATGAAAAATTCAAGTTCTGGTAGAATTTTCTATCCCTAAAAATATTTAAAATTCATAATTTACTCATGTGTAAGGTTTGGTAACATGAGAAGGTGGCAACAGTTTACATATAACTATTCAACAAAAGAGGGCTTTGTAATTTGTAAGACTGTAAGGTTTTGAAGAAATTATATGACAGAAATAACCTAAAAAATTAATAACAATTTATGTGAAAAATGTAAAACATTCTGTTAGCATTTCAAAAAATTTAATGCACAATTTACCTTAAGCATTTCTTAACCCAACTTTCCTCCATGCTTATTTTAACAATCAGTAAACTGCAATTTCATAGATCCAGGATATTTTTTTAAGGTTAAACTGTAGAATGTAAAGCTAATGTTCTCTTAGGTAATCTATCCTTATGCTAACACATATTACGATGAATTTAAATAGCAACTGGAAGAAAACAAAATTGGTAGAAGGAACACTAAAATAACATTTAATTTTGGCACTACATAAAATTTAAAGTTATATTTAAAAATACAGCCTATTCTCGAGTGTGAAAGTTTATGCAATAAAACTTTTCAGTCAACATTTTTAGAAAAAAATTTTAAAACGCTGCCATCCAATGAACACTGTCTTTCTCAGTTCTAATTCTCCCTTTTCCTAACCAACTTTCAGGAGTCAGTTTTTGTTGTATTTCAAGAACTACCTCATTCAATTAGAGTGGAGAGTTTCAGATCACTGATAATTCAAGTCTTACTTTGTATCTTGAAAGATATTCAGTAGAAGGGTTTTTGTGTCAGCATCTTCTTGCACATTTCCAGTGTAAAGGTCGACAATTGAGCGCTCAAAGTATGGGGCCACTTTTGATAAAGCTCGAAGCTCAATTAAATATAGGAAGTACAGATTCTTTAGCCTTCTTGGGCCTTCTCCCTTGGTCTCCACAGGGTCGAATCGGCGTTTAAATTCTTTCATGTTAGGTCCCCAGCTAGGTTTACCCCAGGTTTCTAAAAAAGAAATACATTATGTACTTTTAATAAATAAGATTTTTTTCTCTAAAGAATATATTCTTGTCCCCAACAATTTTTATACTAATAGAAAAAATGTGATTACCTTCCAAAAGATAATTTGCACACAGATGTAAATTAATACTAGCATGAAGTCCCGATATAAGCTTATAGAAGACTCTTTTCTCCAGACACAAACCTAGTCAGAAAAATATTGAAAAAGAAATTACATCCATTTAGATAACAGAAATACTGAATCAAGAGGATTTGGTATGCAGGCTTATTTTTAAAGTTAAGATTCAAGGACATTAAAAATAAATCAAGGAACAATATAAAATAATTAGTTTGAGATTCTCTCACTAGCAGATAAAATAAGATTTTGACTTCAGCACGGAGGTAACTGAATATGATAACTTAATGCAGAATAAGATACAAATGTCTGGACTTCTGAAGATCCAAACACTCGAGCAGATGCACTTGGTTAAAGTCCACATGTTACCCAGAAGGCAATAGCACAGACTTTGTGGTTTAGGCTAAACTAAAGCAGACATAAAGTCACTGCTTCGGCTTAACAATAGCTGTTTCTCCTTTTCCCTTCCCTACAGATGTCTTATTTGAACCTACTTGATAGTGGAGGAAGAAGAGACTGAAACTGAATTCTCTTCTTCTTCTAGATTATTATTATTATTATTATTGAAGCCAGGCCCTCAGCAGTGAAAGCGGGGAATCCTAACCAATGGACCACCAGGGAATTCCCCTTCTTCTAGATTCTTTACTGTGTCTTATTAATCCTTTGTCCTGGATTTCTCTACTTAACTATGTGTTCTGCTTCTCAGGAGCCCAGACCTAGAAGACAGACATCAGTCAATAAAAAAATGTGTGCTATTTACTATGTGAGTAAAACCACATCAAGATGGAGTTTAGGACTGTGATGAAAGTTTATCTTTTGTAGCCTTCTTAAGCCCCAGAGGCTCTTGCTCAAAACAGAGGTCAAGATGATTTCATCATCCTATCCTACCCCTGCCTCCATTTAAAAACATTTTCTCTTATTATAAGAGTAATACATATTATGAATGTACTTAATGCTATTAAGTAAAATTTGAAATGCCGAAGAAAGTAAATTTTATACTGTATTTTCCACAATAAAAAAGGAACAATATTTTTAGAAAATATTCTTTATAGCAACTTTTTAAAGTAAAAATGCAAAAATTAGTCTTTAAGAATCCATCAGATCCATAACAATGAGCTTTTCCCCTTTTCTACCACTCAAGAGTTTGTTTTTGTCTTTTTTGCTCCCCGCCATGGGGAAAAATGGGCTCCAACATTGAAAACTAAGAAATAATCTCATTTATATGCTGAAGGCTTTTTAAGACATTAAGAGTATGTATATGGCTTACTTTGCATCTTTTTAGGATCTTTTAGATCTTCAACTTACTTTCCCTTTGTGTTCTACAACAGATGGCTCTGAAGCAAGTAACTTCTAATAGGAAAAAATAATTATTTTGAGATCTCATTTCCGAATTCAGAATTCTTCCTAGAATATTCTCATCTCATCTCATGGATAGAGTATGTGTGCATGCTAAGTCACTTCAGTTGTGTCCAACTCTTTGCGACCCTATGGACTGTAACCCACCAGGCTCCTCTGTCCACAGGATTCTCCAACTAAGAATACTGGAATGGGTTGACATGCCCTCCTCCAGGGGATCTTCCTGACCTAGGGATTGAACCTGCGTCTCTTACATCTCCTGCGATGGCATGCAGTTCTTTACCACTAGCGCCACCTGGGAAACCCCATGGATAAAGGTAGAAATTAAATTCTATTTTGTTGTTTCCTCACAATAAATAAAAATTAAATGCAGCATTTACCTCTTTAAAAAAAAGCATATGGCCAAGTTTATGGTAACGAGGGATATAAACAATATGAATAGCTTTGATAAAACATTAGGTACTAAATTCTCCTGTAGTAAAACTTCGAATCAAATCTGTTATTAAGTAGCAAAATGATCAGATTTGAGGTTCACTTTTTCTTCCTTTCAACCTAAGCAGTAAAATATCTAAAGATAAGAGAATGGAAAATAAGCAAAGCAAAGCTCATGAAAATTCATATGCCTAAAAATGAAAACATGAAAAACTAGGAGGCAATTCAAATTTGCAAAGTTCACAAAGCTCCTTACCTAAAACAGGGATGGGTGGTAAGTGGGAAGGAAGGAAGAAAAATCTATACTTCCATAAACTGAAAATTAGGCAACTTCAAGAAAAATCTTAACAATAAAAGATGTGCCAAGTGAATGCACCAAGAAGATATACAATACTCTTAGCAGGAAAGTGCTGGAGAGCTGACCCCCACCTGCAGTCTGCTGCCAGGCCTATGCCTAGCAAATCCAAATGCTGACTTTAGCAAGTGGTTCTCCTCTTTCTCTTCTGGATTTAATTTCATTCAAATTCATTTTCACCAACCAAACTATAGGACAACAATATATAATTTTTTTCTCACAAAAGGACTAGATTTACTGTAATACTATTATTTGGCATTTGTACATTGTTTAGTGATTCTCAAAGCAATTTTCACAGGCATCATCTACACTCACAGAGTAGGTAAGCTGGATGGCTATTGCCACTCTTGTGCCCCAGATCAGCAACCTGAATCTCAGAGAAATTGAATCAGTTGCCTACAAATGGGAGTGCTCACTGAACCATGTATCAATGGACTCCCATCAATAGGATACTAGGAGATTCTGGGGTGTATAGTATATATCCTAGAATTTGACACTGCCCATAAATTTCATTCTTATCCTCGATTATCAATATGCAGAGTCTTTGCCCACCTCTTTTGAACTAAATGCTATTTTTTGCAATTTGTACTTTTAGAATAAAGCTAATTAAACAAAGCTAAGCATCTTTTCCCACGTTGGCCATTTGTCAGTGTAATTCCTAGCAGTATTTGCATGTCGAAAATAATTCATTTAAAAAAGAGAAATCCCATTCATAATATAACATGACTAACACACATAAGAATCTAGTATATTGGGTTCTATATTACTTTATGCTTTAGTTAGACAGTTTAGACTGTATGTTTAAACATGTTTAAAATAGTCTGAATTCAAATTCATCTTCCCTTAATTTCATATACAAAAAAACCCACTTTCTTTCAAAAAGAATGTCTCTACTTAACAAACCAGACTTGCATAATGCTTCCTAGAAAAGTAGTTTGGATGAGTATTACATACAGAATGGAAATAAGACTGGAAACCAGTTATGAAAATGTGATGACCATATCTACCCTGTGTATTTTCATAACACTGGTTTTTAGCTGACCAATATCCTCAACATTTTCAAATAATTTTATCCTAAACTATAATAACATAAAACATGTTATTTTCTTTCAAACACTGTCAAGATTAGTTGTCTAGGTAATGAATCCTAAAACTTACAAATATATATTAAATTATCTTTTTGTAAGATGCCAATATGTTTAAAATGTAGACATTAGGTTACCTTCTAGCCATGTGTAGAATGATTCTCCTAAAAAACAAAGCAAAAACAATCAAAATTATATACACATATTTACTTAAAGGCTTAAATATCCATAAGATTGAAGAGAAACAATCTTAAGTTTGCCTTTGATGATAACAACCATAGCACTGTTCAAAACTTCCAGAAAAAAAGTGAATTATACTTAATACAAAAATCAAATTACTAATTATCCTATTTTTCCTGAACCAGTAAAGCTACATATACTTCCTTAATTATCTAAAAGGGCCAAGTTTCAAGGGACAATAAAAAAAAGTTCTCTAGTTTTCAAGATAATGCTTCAGAAAAGTTAATGACCAGAATATGAAGAGGCCTTACTATGTGTACCATGCTAAAAGAACTAATCCTAGCCCACTATTGTTCTGAGTGAAAAGAAAAATGGCAGTCAATAAGGATAAGAATAGTTAATATACTTCCTAAGTTACCCATCCTTATTTCAATTGTGAAAAGCAAAGCATGAGGATGAAAACTCAACACACAGATGGCTGAGCAAGGAGTATAGGGGATAAATTAAGATGGTGGGGAATTACTTTGTCTCCTGAGTCTTCACCCTGCAACAACACAAATACTTTCCCTAGAGATTCATTCATTCAACATGCTCTTACTTAGATGATACTCTTACAAAGGAGCATTCATTATCTCACTCGTTTATTCAGAAAGCCCCAACAGTTAATAGCAAAAGTCTAGCTTCCAAGGTCCTCAACAATCTGTCCTCTACTCATCTTTCTAATTTAACTACCCTATGTGAAGTCTTTCCAACTGCTAACAGGGTCTCCCAAAACATGCCTTGTTTTTTGCTTTTTCAACTCCTTAGTCTGTGCTATCATTCAAGTAGAACATACTATCCAATTCTACTGGCTTAAATCGGTCCATTATTTGTCCATCTCAAATACCACCTTTTCCAGTAATATTCCAAGAGAGAGAGGATCTATTCCACCTCTGAACAAACTACTACATCACTTACTGTCTGTACTATGTATGTAATAATTCTTTATCATCTCTTATGAATAGTGCTTATCATTACTACTGTACATATTTTTAGCTCCTAGAGGAAAGGTATGTTTTATACATCTTTCCATCCTGTACAATGTGTACAATGCTCATCATGGTGCTCCTGAACACAGCTAAGTAAATGAAATAATTATTTTGGCTGTTTTGCAGCATGTTATAACTGATATTCATTTAGAAATCTGGAATAACCTACTGTTGACAAATTATCATTCATCAGATTAAGTGTAATAATGATGACTGAGGTTATAAATTACAAAATCAATAAGAATATAAAGAAATCACAAGACAAATATCTGATAAAACTATTTTAATTTCCCTCCATTTCTTTAGAACATATTCAAATAGATCACAATAACCAAAAAATAGGGGAACTTGGAATGTGATCCTGTTTCTATACTAAACATGTAAGTAGAATGGTTGTTATACTGTTTTCAACATAGGGTAACTTTGAATTATATATATTAAAAAAACCTCTCTTTTTTGGGTCGCCATTGATTGGTAGTTATTTTCTGGGAAAAAATAGGATAAATACTTTTGAATTAAAAACAGGAAAAAATCAAATTTTGATCATTAAAGACATTTCTTCTACACTTGCAGCAAACATAAAATGAGAGTTTTAACTCACCATCATCTTCTCCTGAAAGAGAAAATAAATAGATAGGCTATCAGAAAATGTCTTCCACAGTTCAGATTCCAATCCGATTTTAATATGCGATTAAAACTTACTGTGTGTTAAACGATTAATCATACCATTAACTTTGGTTGGCTTGTAGTTATCCTACAAATAAGACTTAATAAGAATAAAAGTGAAACAGCACAAGATTTTCATATATGTTTTATGCAATAAATAGTATCAGAGAGCAAGTAATCATAAAAACCACTAGTTTCAATAATTAACAAATATACAAAGTTACTCCTTTAATTGTTATGCACATAACTCTTTCTGAACATGTGTTTTCAGACTGGAGCACTTTTCTTTCTTAAATTACTGCTCTTCAGCACACAGTCATCTGAATAAAAGCCCTTCCCAAACTGTCGTCAATGAAAGCATCCTTGCAGGTGCTGTGGGACTGCCCAGACATGGGGAAGAGGCCAGAAAGATGGACTATCGGGCTCCACAGCAGTCCTGCCTTTATTGGCTTTACATGTGGAATTCTGACATAAGATTTATTTTTGAAAAAAAGTTCTGTTGCACAAAAACTGTTCAAAACCTAGTTGTAGAAGCCCAGCTGTTATAGCTCAAAAGTAGCGTGGAAGAAACATAGTTAAGAATATTAAACAGCTGTTCATCAACAATTCATAGTTTGAGTGAAGAAAGCTCATCAACAGCATTAGCAACAGCTGTTTCATTACTTCCTAGGGTACCACCATCACCTGGAACCCATTCTCTCCCTTACCCAATCTTTTGTCTCCCTCTTCTACACTTGTTTTCTCTTTTCTACTCCTCTTTCCTCCCTCTATCTTCTTTTCTGAGCACTTTCCTTCCTCTCCTCATCTCTTCTACAGTTTCAAGTCTTAGTTATCATAATATGGAAGTGAAGTGTTTCTTAGGATTTGATGCTTTTATTAAATGAACAATTGTACTTTCTGCTTTACAAGTGATCATATGGTCTTCCTTGGTGGCTCAGTGGTAAAAAAAATCTGCCTACCAGTGCAGGAGACATGGGTTTAACCCCTGATCTGGGGAGACTCCACATGCCATGGAGCAACGAAGCCTGTGCGCCACAACCGCTGAGCCTGTGCTCTAAAGCCCGGGAGCCACAGCTACTGAGCCCTGGAAACACAACTACTGAGCCCCAGCACCCTAGAGCCTGTGTCTGCAACAAGAGAGGCCCAAGCACCACAGCCAGGGAGGAGCCCCTGCTTGCTGCAACTACAGAAAAGCCGGCACAGCAATGAAAACCCTGCACAGCCAAAAATAAAATAAAGAAAGAAACATTTTTTAAAGAGCAAGTTATTATAGAAAAGGTCTGGAAGGATACCTTCCAAACTGTACTATGGAAGAGAAAAAGTGTGGAGGCGGGTAGGAATGGGGAGGGGGGGAGTGTCCTCTTTTTACTTTATGTTATTTTTGTATTGTTTCAATTTTCATAAAAATCTTACATAATAAAAACATTTAAGTTGAAAATAGAAAAGCTATTAAGTAAAAGTAGTAAAAAGAGAGAAAGGGGAGGAAGCCATCCACATCGTCTTCCTACTCCAATTACCTTGTCCAGGCAGTTTCAGAATGAATTTGGGAAGACTATATGCCACCCTGTGATAGAGGGCATATCTGAGAGCAGTCCATTCATTCCACCTTCCCAAATCTCTCTGGTTTTGAGAAATGCCTAAAAAGATGAATCTAGACCAGGAAATTCAAGTTCCTAAATCAATCCTGGTCTAAAGAAAGCATTCAAATATCAATCACAGGGCTGCTCCCAGGGTTTGGGTCCTCACTGGGAACAGACTGAAGATATGCCTAATAATTTTACATTGAATAACCTCCAACTGTGTACGATAAAGCTGTCGCATAGGACTATAATACCAGCCATGTATGTGATTAAAATATTTTTCTAATAAAAATGTAATGTTTTCTCATATCCACATTTTGAAAAGTAAATGGTATACATGCATTAAGTACATCAACAATTCGCTTTGTGATGCAAGAGTTAAAGTGGTTCTACCAAAACAATAAGATTCTGTTTAAGGGCAAAAATATTTTATACTGCTTTAGTTTTTTAATTTAAATGAACTAAATTACATAAAATGGGAAATTTAGTTTCACAGAAGCACATGTTCTGTGCTCAGTAGCCTGGTGTGGCAAGTGGCAACCTAACTTTCTGGTACTTCTCTACATCCTTCTGACTCAGAGTGTTGTGCACAGATCAGCATGTGGGCATCACTTGGGAGCCTCACCCAAGACCTACAGAACCAGAATCTGGTATCTAACAAGGCTCCAAGGTTATCTGTATGCACATTGAAGTCTGAAAAGCACAGGAGGAGCCACTGGTTCTCAAACTTGGCTGCATACTAGAAGCATCTAGAAAGCTTTAAAATCACCAACACCTGGATCCCGATTCCAAAGATTCTGACAACTGGTATGGGATAAGGCCTGGACATCCAGATTTTCAGGAGTTCCCCAGAACCTCTAATATATATGGATTATTCATATTTCTAATTTATTTTATATAAAACTCCTAGTTTAGGGCCTGGCAGTCAATAAAGGATAGTAATTATACAAAACATGTGGAAATCTTGATGCAACTATGAACTAAGCTTATTCTTTTAATCATTCAAATTAGCAAATATACAAAATAGCTAAACATTTTCTCAATATATAGTTACAAAGGTATTTTGTAAACAATATCCAAAAACATGAAAATGTATGAGACACCCACCTCGGCTGGGTGCCAGAGGATTTAAAGGACGATAAACAGATCGAGGCCTGAAAAAGAAAAGTACAAAATTCAGACGTAAAGTGGTTTGACATTTTGATGTAATTTTTTCCAAAGGAAACAAATATTCCCTTTCTCCCACCTCCCCTCTAGTCAATCCTCCTCCTCCCCACAGTTACTTGAAACAGTTCTCTTCATAGATGCTGTTCCACACTCTCCACGCAGAAGACCCTTTATAGCCGGTGTAGCGCTCGGGATTCAGCAGCAGGTCTACGTACTGAGCAGCTGGAGACCGCTCATCTGGACAAGAAACAACTCATAAAGCCATCTATATGTCACCATCTATGCAAAGTTTACCATACAAAGCAAGCAGGGCTACACAAAAGTCAGAGAAAGACTGCACTTTCAAGTCGTCTCCAAGTTAAACGGCAGAGTGGTTAGCACACTTGTGACTGTCCTTTACCCAGGATTTATAATAACTTGAACTTAAGAGAGAAAAAATAACTTCTCCCTTTCTTTTGGATGCTCAGTGATCTTTTAAATAATATAACATCCCTTACCTTAATTAGAGGCATTAATTACTTCTTAAGTTTAAACCACCAAGACTGAACAGACCTAACCAAATCATAACCTGTTTTAATATTTCATGTGTTTGCCCCCCTCCATGTATACAGCTACCTAAACACATACTTGAGACATGTTAGTACTTATTATATTTAAAAAGATCTCTCAGTTACTCTCTGCTTGGACTTAGGAAGTAAATGGTACAATAACTTTGAGATTCAAATTTGATCATTCAGAGTTACACCATGTTCTAGTAAAAAAAAGTTACAAATTTATTTTTACCAATGTTAATATATTATTTAACATATTAACTGGTTAACATATGGGTTAGTAGGCACAACTTCAAGAACTTATTAGCACATTTAAAATTAAATAATGGCTTTCCATGTTGAAACCCAAATGAGTATTTACTAGATCTCCACTATTTGGACAATATTTTGAGAGAGATAAAAGGAAAAATCATCTTAATTATTGAGGTTCATATTTTGGGTAGAAAAGGGAAATATAGGTTTTCTTACCTATATAAAAATTATAATGACTATGCTTCACAAATCTATTCTAATAATACTTATAGGCTGAAGTGCTATGTATGTTGGCACAGATGTACTCTTTTACTTATATGCTTCCTACTTTTTGGTGTCATGGTATTAATCAATGACATTAATATATAGTCACCTGACTTGAAACAAGACCAAATATGGTCATTAAAATATAGTGCCTCTTAGTTTCATTACCTGTCAGTCAAAAATATTCACTGGCCATTCAATGACCATAGATTAAGATTATCCACAAATCTAAAGGGAAAAAAAGAGTATCCTGACACATGTCTTCTGAGAACTACCTGGTACTTTCATGATGTAGGAAGAATACAAAGATAATTTCAACTTCCCATTAGTAAATGAGTGGCATCTCACAGAAGATGGAAACATGATTTTTAAAGAATACTGGTTCTATTTCTAGCACTAACATTATACAGATACGCCACTATGTAAATTAAGGCATAGAAAACAGTTTATTTGTAAATGGAAGAACAGAAACTGTCTAAGGACATTTCTTAATCAAGACTTAAGACTAATTAATTTAAAATTTTTAATTTTAATTAAAAATTTTTAATAAATTAAAATTTAAATAATTAAGTTAACGAATTTTACTTTTATAGTAAAATTTTAAATGCTTTATAATAACAAATTTCTGTTAATTATTTTAAATTTCTTTGAGCCATTCTTAGTTCACCTTACAAAACTGAGTTACGTATACGAACTTAAATACTAATATCATAAATATATACTCATATACATATATTCCATATGTATAAAGTACATGTGTGCACAGACATAAGCCTACACTTATGTAGAGTCATCTATGAATGTGCAGACTGAATTAATATCACCCTCTTCACCCAATTAAACCAACTAAACAGTAAAGAAAAAAATCCTTGGATTCAGATATTGAAGTATATGGATTTAAAGCATACTTCAAGGGAGTAGAAAGTCACATGAGCAAAATCAATTATACAGGTTTTAAAATTAAGTAAAAGTTACATTCTTCATGTTCTTAATGTGTATTCCTTTAATTCAACCAAAAGTTGTTTTAAAAAATTTAATACTTTTTCAAATCATGAAAAACGTGGGTTTTGTTAACCTATAGAAAGGGTTAGCAAACTATGGCCCACAAGACAAGTCTGGTCTGCTAAGTATTTTTGTAAAGATAGTTTTATGGGAACACAAGTCTTGTTCATTTGCCTATGTACTGCTTTCACACTATTATGACAGATTTGAGCAGTTACAACTGAGGCCACGTAAACTATGGTCTATCTAATATATATAATATTTATGGTCTATCTAAAATATTTACTATCTGCCCATTTACAAAAGAAAAAGTTTGTCAACTCCTGACCTATACTGACAAGAATTTCATGACATCCAGAATGAAGAACATATGTGGGAAAAAGCATACACAGGTTGAAGTCCCCTACAAAACACACCCATTCTTACTCCTGGATTTGTTCCTAAACTAGAATTTCTTTTCATTTGTATGACTATCATTCATTCAGACAGTTCTCTTAGATCCCTAATAAACCCTCCCCTCAGAAAGTTTTGTCTTCTTCCTCCCTCTACAAACCTGCTTCAAAGCTATTCCTTCTTTCTGACTATTCTAACAATTACCTAAGGATTCAAAGAATTTCTGTTCAGTCAAAATACCTAATTCTGTAAATTTGTCAACCTGAACTATTATTTCTTCTTCTTCCTCAAGTACCACCTTTTATCCGATTGAATTTTCCTTTCACTGCTCTAATTTAGTATTAGTGTTCTGAGGCTACATTGCATTCTCTAGCCCTCCTGACCCATGTATCTCTTAAAACGTAATGGTTGCACAGGCCAACTTAATATGCAGGCTTTTTGCTTATGGGCACAGATCAAAAATATTAGGTTACAGACTCAGGACTGAGTCCACAATCTTCTCTCTCTAAAGCTACCCCAAACTGCAATTTACTATTAAAACATAATTTCCTCAGTCAAGGAGAAACTATAGTTTATAAAGCACCCAAGTAATTTTGATATACAGCCAGATTTAGAAACTCCTGTTTCAAGCAGTATTTTTAACATATCAATGAATCTGCTGAAATGGGAAAACTAAAAAAGTAAAAATCTATCACATTATTTTGGCTATTTATGAACCAACTAGGACTCCCCTGTGGCTCAAAAGGTAAAGAATCTGCCTGCAATGCAGGAGATCTGGGTTTGATCCCCGGGTGGGGAACATCCTCTAGAGAAGGGAATGGCAATTCACTCCAGTATTCTTGCCTGGAGAATCCCATGGACAGAGGAGCCTGGTGAGCTACAGTGTGTGGGTTCACAAAGAGTCGGACATGACTGAGCAACTAATACTACCATATGAACCAACTACTTCAATCAACAGATATTTATTGGGAATGAACCATAGCCAGGCAGTGTTCTAGGCACTAGGGACACAGTTATGAACAAAGAGACAAAGTCCTTGCCCTCCAGTGGCTCACAGTCTAGCTGAAGACAGACAATAAACAGTTAACTAACGTCTCACACACAGTTCTTAGTGCTCTGAGAGCAGGCAGCAATGCACAGAGACAGAGAGGAAAGCGGTTGCTCTTTTATGACAGCAGGTTCTCTAATGAAGTGACATCTGAGCAGCAACTCACGCATAAAAAACAATAACAAAAAAATAAATAAATAGAGAGGGGTAGGGAGAGCACCCTACCTTAAACCACTAAATTATTTAAAAACCTACTATTTGATCTGTAAGGATCGTCTTCCTTTCAAATAAGAACAAAGTCAAAAACAAATCAGCAGATAACAGGGGTGTTTGGCTATATCCCAATACACTGGGGTGAACATTCTTTAGATTTTTGCTTTAATCTGATGATTTAGATTATTGAAATAACAATGACGCCAAAGCTACTCTGATGGTATTTTTTTAAATTGTGGGTGAAAAAAATCTTTGGGATACACATGAACATTACTACCCAGAAGAAGTGGTAATCCAACCAGTAGCATGGTTTCACATGTTTAAGACCTACACAAACTATAAAAACTACCAGTTATTTTAATTATGGAATCCTAAAATTTTTTAAAGATGATTTTATGTAGGTAGCCATGTGAGTGCTTACCCAGGTATACTGACTTGCTTTGATGAAACCTTTGCCAATTCTAAATATCACAACAGGAATATTTTATGAATTTGACTATCACTATATCCAAAAAAACTCTGTTCAGATTTCTTAACCATTTCCTTGCTGAAACCATATAAACTGTGGTAATAACACTCCCTCTCCCAGTGTCTCCTCAATTTACTATAATATTGGAGAGGTGCCCAGTAAGTATCCCATTACAGACTGTATTAACAGCACAATTCTACAAATGAATCTTTCAAAAATTTTTAGAAAGCAGACCACTTTAGATGCTTTAAAAATTCAGAAGAACTTCTGCTGCCTGTTAATTATGCATGCTTAAAACTCAAATCCTTTTCCACCGCAAAAAATATAACAATACCAAGGTAAAAGGTAAAGAGAAGCCGAATGAATTGTGCTAAGCCTACGCAACACAATTATTGGGAGTATTCTCCTGTAGACAAAAGATCTGGAGACACGTCAATTATCTTCTGCTGAAAGAAATGGTAGTTACTATTGAACCGTGATGGCCTGGCTTTATTCCATTCCAAACAGGGCTGTGGGGATCAAGTCAGAGTCCTCTCCAATATTGAAAGGTGTCTTTATGTTAGTTTGTTGAGACTTCCAACTAATTTCATTGTGAACATTTCTATAATATGGTCGCAGACCTATAACTAAGTGGCTTGAATTAGAGGTCCATAGTAGATGGGGGTGTCACAATGGAAAGAAGACATGTGTGGGAATGAGATCTAGGGTTGAATTCTGACTCAGCTCTTGCTACTGTGTGATCTTGGGCAAGTTTTTAGTCTTTTTGAGACTCAGTTTCCTCAGATATAAAATGATACACACCTATCAGTGTAGTTGTAAAGCTAAGAAATGATGAACTTAAGGCACTTAGTACAAGGCCTGGAATACCAGTTCTTAATACTATAGTAATATCCACATACAACATCCTGTGTATTAAAGCTATAACTTTGACTGTATTTTCACTGATTTAAGTATCTTAAAAGGGTTAAAGTTAAAATAATGTAATTACAATAGTTTATTTTATTACCATCAAGTTCACAAAAGTGATCCTGTGAATCATCATATCTTGCCCAGTCAATGAAAGCTTCTTTGCTTTGATTACTAGGGGAAGGAGGAATAAAAGAGAAAAAGGATTAAATTTGGAGTTGAGAAGTTTGACACTGTATTCTAGTGTTTTAAAAATAGATAATCTGAGATCACTTCTTCATTAATTAGATAGCATTACAAATTCAGTTAGTGGTCACATGAAGCAATGATTAAAATAAGTGATACGAAAGACAGAGAGATTAATTTCCATGAGTGATTTTTACTTTTTAACTATATTAAAACTATTTTAGGCCTAGTTCAATGATGATTACTTAGACCAGAAAACTAATTTACAAATACATATAAGATTGAACTAAACACAAAACTCAAGCTGGTCTTTTCAATTGACTTAGAAATGAAGTAAACATGTATTATTTTTTCCTAAGTAGGAATTAAATTAACTTTCAAGATTCTTTTAATTTAAATTGCTTCTGTACTTATATTATATTCAAAAATACTAAAAAAAAAATGCATTTCTAGGATCTTCCATCCAACACCCCTTAGTAACATCAATGTCACTTTTATCACATTGTTATTATTCATTTTACACATTACCTCACATTTAACAAAATCTATGACAAGATTTCTGTCCAGGAGAACTGATAAAGGAACAACTACACTCAAAATAAACCCTGGCCTATATTTCCTTTAACAGATATTCAGATCTTCTCTATCTTAAATACACAGTGGCAGCATATATAAGAGAAGTATTATTATCCTTTTTTACTCACTACACAAAAAGAAAAAAAAAACAAGACAAAAAAATTATGTACTAAGTATAAATCAGGTATTCCTAAATGTGATACTGTCATAGCCAATAATTTATTTTGCATTTGAGAAGCTGCTGCATAGCGTAACCACTGTATGACGTATATAAGGCTGTCTGCACTACAACCACCTTACCAATAAAAATCTCCAATTTAATTTACCATGGAATTTTCTCCTATGGGAATATATAATTAAATAAAAGTTAATAAAAAAATCTATACCATAAGTGACTCAGTTGAAATATATGATGCCATAAAACAAAAATGCCTAAGTTCCAGTTACAACTAAAATGATAACTATAGTCATGTTTAATCAGATAAGTCTTCTCCTGAAAATAGTAAGGAACAAAGCAATTTTGATATAAATGCCTATTTTCTTATTAGCAATATGACTAACTTAGAGGAACTTTTAGTACCTTTATTTGATGAGGTTTTCTAATTGTTTCATCTAACCCTTCCTTAAAGCCATGGTAGCAGAAAAGACATGGAATGCTAATCTAATGCTAATAGAGCTGGCCCAGTTTGGTTTCAAAATGAGTTGGAAGGAAATTTAGTGATCATCTAGTCCAGCTTTTCTAAAAAGTCAGTTTGAAGATCGATGCCACAGTACTTACAGAAGAATTTCTTGGGCTTAACCTAGGGCTTCGTATCAAGATGCTGCTGTGAGTTAAAGTAGTCATCTTTAAAGTGGGAAATGGGCAGGAAGGGATGGGATGGAGGGATTACACAGGGGCATGAGAAAACTTTGGGGAGTGTATGTATAATTATCTTGCTTGTGCTGATCTTTGCGAGTGTACACTTGTCAAAACATCACATTGTACATTTTGAATAGGTATAGTGTATTGTATGTCAATTACACTTCTATAAAGCACTACTGGTAGTCAAAGAAGTTACGTGATGAAGAATTCCTGTACAGCACTACTAGCAGCAATACATTTTGATACAGTCATTTTGGAAAACCACCTGGCAGTTAATTCCCTGGTGGCTCAGTGGTAAAAAAAAAAAAAAAAAAAAAAAAAATCTGCCTGCCAATGCAGGCAATGCAGATTCAAAGATTCCTCTGTGGAAGGAAATGACAATCTACTCCAGTATTCTTGCCTGGGAAATGCCATGGGCAGGGAAGCCTGGGAGGCTATAGTCCGTGGGGTCACAAAAGGATTGGACACGACTCAGTGACTAAACAATTTCTCCTGTAGGTATACTTCTCCACAGGAATGCATACAAATGTACGACCAAATAGCTACCTAAATGTTTTGTGAAATGGCCAAAACATCCAGCGTATTATTCAACATAATGTTGCATAAAATAAGCCAGATACAAAAGAAGATACACTGTATTATTCCACTTATATAAGTTGGCAAAACTAATCTTTGCAATATAACTCAAAATCATGGTTAACTCTGGAAAGTGATAATGGCTACGAAAGCACATAAGGTGATCTCCTGAGTGCAAGTATCTTGTTCTGGATGGTGGCTAATGGAGTTGGTCCACTCTGTAAAATTAAATTGACTTTTATACTTAGACTTGTATACTTTATTACGTGTGCTAAACTTAAAAGTTAAAAAAATTAATAACTGTGGTTCAACAACAAAAATCTGTAAGTGAAATCAAAAGACAAGCCCTAACATCCCATATAACCAACAAAGAAATATTATCAGATTATATGAAGAGTACCTACAAATTAATTTAGAAATGTACCCTTTCCCCAAAGGAGAGAAAAATAGCAAAGAATATGAACAGGTCATTTACCTCAAAAATCTTATGATTACTTAAGGCCTAGTCCCTGGATCACTTCTCTATTCTTAATTTCTCCTTGGTAATCTCACTCAGGTTTATGGTTTTTAAATATCACATAGTCACTGAATGACTCCCACATTTTCTCTCCAGTCCACACCTCTCCCCTGAAATTGAGACTTGTATATCTGCTTGCTTGACATCTCCACAGGCAGTTCAAACTTAACTAGTATAAGGTCGAACTAAAATTTCCCATCAAACTTGCTTCCCTTGTAGATGTCTGCAGTGCAGCAAGTGGCAGCTTCATTTTCTTAGTTCCAAATCTTGCAATTATTCACAGCTCCTATCTGTTTTCATATACTACATTCAATCCTTCAGCAAATACTATCAGCTCTACCTTCAAAATCTATTCTGAATCTGACCACCTCTCAACGTTTCCACTGCTATCAGGTCAGTTCACTTGCTCAGTCGTGTCAGACTATTTGCAACCCCATGGACTGCAGCACACCAGGCTTCCTGTCCATCACCAACTCCCAGAGCTTACTCAAACTCATGACCACAGAGTCAGTGATGCCATCCAACCGTTTCATCCTCTGTTGTCCCCTTCTCCTCCCACCTTCAATCTTTCCCAGCATCAGGGTCTTTTCCAGTGAGTCAGTTCTTCACATTAGGTGGCTAGAGTATGGGAGTTTCAGGTTCAGCATCAATCCCTCCAATGAATATTCAGGACTGATTTCCTTTAGGATGGACTGGTTGGATTTCTTTGCAGTCAAAGGGACTCTCAAGAGTCTTCTCCAACTCCACAGTTCAAAAGCATCAATTCTTCGGTGCTCAGCTTTCTTTGTAGTCCAACTCTCACATCCATACAGGACTACTGGAAAAACCACAGCTTTGAGTATACAGACTTTCATTGGTGAAGTAATGCCCCTACTTTTTAATATGCTGTCTAGGTTTGTCATAACATTTCCTCCAAGGAGCAAGTGTCTTTTAATTTCATGGCTGCAGTTACCATAGTCCAACTCTCACATCTATACATACTACTGGAAAAACCATAGCTTTCACTAAATGGACCTTTGTTGGCAAAGTAATGTCTCTGTTTTTTAATATGCTGCCTAGGTTGGTCATATCTTTTTTCCCAAGGAGCAAGCGTCTTTTAATTTCATGGCTGCCATCACTATCTATAGTGATTTTGGAGCGCCCAAAAATAAAGTCTGTCACTGTTTCCATTGTTTCCCCATCTATTTGCCATGAAGTGATGGGACCAGATGCCATGATCTTTTCTGAATGTTGAGCTTTAAGCCAACTTTTCACTCTCCTCTTTCACTTTCATCAAGAGGCTCTTCTTCTTCACTTTCTGCCATAAGGGTGGTATCATCTGCATATCTGAGGTTATTGATATTTCTCATGGCAATCAGATTCCAGCTTGGGCTTCATCCAGCCTGGCATTTTGCATGATATACTCTGCATATAAGTTAAATAAGCAGGGTGACAAGGTACAACCTTGATGTACTCCTTTTCCTATTTGGAACCAGTCTATTGTTCCATGTCCAGTTCTAACTGTTGCTTCCTGACCTGCAAACAGATTTCTCAGGAGGCAGGTCAGGTGGTCTGGTATTCCCATCTCTTTCAGAATTTTCCACAGTTTGTTGTGATCCACACAGTCAAAGGCTTTGGTGTAGTCAATAAAGCTGAAATATGTTTTTCTGGAACTCTCTTGTTTTTTTGATGATCCAACGGATGTTGGCAAGCTGATCTCTGGTTCCTCTGCCTTTTCTAAACCCAGCTTGAACATCTCCAAGTTCTCGGTGCATGTACTGTTGAAGCTTCGCTTGGAGAATTTTGAGCATTACTTTGCTAGTGTGTGAGATGAGTGCAATTGTGCAGCAGTTTGAACATTCTTTGGCACTGCCACCTTTCCTCTGGAATTGGGATGAAAACTGACCTTTTCCAGTCCTGTGGCCACTGCTGAGTTTTCCAAACTTGCTGGCATATTGAGTGCAGCATTTTAACAGCATCATCTTTTAGGATTTGAAATAGCTCAACTGGAATTACATCACTTCCACTAGCTTTGTTCATAGTGATGCTTCCTGAGGCCCACTTGACTTCGAACTCCAGGATGTCTGGCTCTAGGTGAGTGATCACACCACTGTGGTTATCTGGGTCATTAAGATCTTTTTTGAATACTTCTTCTGTGTATTCTTGCTCCCTATTCTTAATATCTCTGCTTCTGTTAGGTCCATACCATTTCTGTCCTTTATTGTGCCCATCTTTGCATGAAATGTTCCCTTGGTATCACAATTTTCTTGAAGAGATCTCTAGTCTTTCCCATTCTATTGCTTTCCTCTATCTCTTTGCACTGATCATTGAGGACGGCTTTCTTATCTCTTCACACTATTCCTTGGAACTCTGCTTTCACATGGGTATACCTTTTCTTTCCTCCTTTGCCTTTTGCTTCTCTTCTTTTCTCAGCTATTTGTAAGGCCTCCTCAGACAACCATTTTGCCTTTTTGCATT